GGAGCCCAGCAGGTCAAAGTTGCGGTGGCCGGGAGCAGCCACTGCACTCCAGTCTGGGTGATAGAGTGAGACTCCAACTCAAAAGAAGAAAAAAAAAGAAAACCAATACAACACATATGAGATCTTACAGTTCAGACACAGATACAAAACTCTGTTAAAATCCATCTAAGAATATCCCAAAACTTAGATTGCTATCCAACATATTCTCATATCTAAGGACTAAGAGCCAAATATTATAAGCAGTGCCTTTTTTTGTTTGTTTGTTTTAAGTCAAGGTCACCCAGGCGGGAGTGCAGTGGCATGACAAATCACAGTTCTTTGCAGCCTCACTTGCCTGGGCTCAGGCCACCTTCCACTTCAGCCTCCCGAGCAGTTGGGACTACAGGTGCCTACCACCACACCTGGCTAACTCTTTTAATTTTTTTGGCAGAGACAAGGTCTCACTATGTTGCCTAGGCTGGTCTTGAACCCCTGGGCTCAAGCAATCCTACCACCATGTTCTCCCCAAAGTTCTGGGATTACAGACATGAGCCACTGCCCCCGGGGCTGAATATCTTCTTTTTTTTTTCCTCAAGTCAGTCTCACTTTGTCGCCCAGGCTAGAGTGCAGTGGCACGCTCACAGCCACCACAGCCTCGACCTGCTAGGCTCAGGCAATCCTTCCACCTCAGCCTTCCAAGTAGCTGGAACTACAGACATGCGTCACCACGCCTGTCTAATTTTTTTATTTATTGTAGAACCAAGTCGCCCAGGCTGGTCTCAAAACCTGGACTCAGGCAATCCTCTCACCTCCGCCTCCCAAAGTGCTGGGATTATAGGCGTGAGCTACTGCGCCCAGCTGAAGATCTTTTTAAAACTGCAATTAAAGGTTAAAATGTTTCTTATATACCTTAATGTAATAAATTCAATTTCACATATAAATTAGGCTTCATATTATATATCTGAATAAAAACTACCCTTTTCCCACTTTTAAGTTAATTTATGATAGAAACTTGAATGCTACAAATATTGTTTATGTATTTTGTCTACTATAACATGAATATAAATCCCAGGGAACATTTATTAGGTTCTATTGACTTTACTGATGACATTAGTAGTTGGAGTTCTCAAAACCTCCTGTCTTTAACTTAAAAAAAAAAAAGGGAAGAAAGATATACAAATCCTTAAGCTTTTAAGTAGCACAGTAATTTGCAAGCCAAAGATACTGACGAGAGAAGCAAAATAATATTTCAATGTAAAAGTAAATTTTCAGATAAAAACTTTCCACTATGAATAGCCACAAAACTTTCAGGTAAGACAAACGGTGGTCATATTAATATAAACTAATAAACAGAATTGGAAAACTAATACATTATAAGAAAGCAAGTCGCGTGGTCTTCAAATTACTTCCCATCATTTACTCCAAACAAAAAAGGCGACCAACATTTCCCTTCCTCCCCCTTGTAGCCTTCCTTCAGAACCCTGATTTTATTCCGCTGTTAGTATAGCCAGCTGCCCACCCAAAAGACAGAGAGCTGTGGCTGGCCTGCTGGAATTACTCCACAGCAGCAGCCAGGCAAATCCCTGTACCTAGAGCCGCTCCAGGGGCAAGAGGGGAATCAAGCCCAGCCATCTCCTGGGCCTGAAAGTCCTCGGGCATGCACACGCCAAAGAAATAAGGAGCAAAGGGACGTGGCTCCTCTTCTCACACAGTTCAGAATCTGGTGGGGGAGGCAGAAAAGGAACAGACAGCTGTGACACGGAAGTACAACAAGAGCCCTCCTTAGAGAGCTGCAGTGTCTCACTTACTTTCCCTCTTCTCCCCCAACTCCAGCTTGCTGCCCTCTCTGCCCGCGAAAAACTCCACACACAAAAGGAAGGCTCAGACGGATTAAAGGCTTGACTACAAAAGGCAAAACTATAAATGTATTAAAAGCATTCACCTACAGTTCAAACCTTAGAATATGAAGAATACATTAGAAAAACGGGCAAGCGACAGACAGGAAACCCAAAGGTCAATAAACCTCTGAAGCGGTGCTACCCTCGTTGGTACTAACATCGTCAGAAAGGCAAAAAACACTGTAGTCCGGTGACACCAAGCACTGGCAAGGCTCTGGGGCACAGGGGCTCATCTCTTGCGGGTACAAGACTGAACTGGCAGAGCGACTGGAGAGAAGAAGCCCTTGCATATTAAAGCTGAGGACAAAAATACTCTGTGACGCGCCTCACGCCGCCACAAGTCCCTGGAGCATGCTACCCAGAGGGCAGGCAGCACGGCCACTCTGGGCTGTGGGTCCTGATGCACAGGCCGGGCCTTGCCTCTCTACTGCTTCCAGTGCTCGCACGCAAGGCTTTCACATACTTGTGACCTCCATCTGCAGCCAGGGTCTTAGAATCTTCTATCCACAATAAACTAACATCTACTGACAGGGTGAGACTGCAAGGGTGATTATACACACTTCAAAGAAGAAACCCAAAGACACACAAAGGGCCAAAAGCGCTGAAATTATCTTTTGGAGGACAGGCCCCTTGTAGCACGCTCGGAAGTTCCTTTGGACCACATGGCCAACCAAAGTTTTTACCTGAAAGTTTTGAGAAGACTGCATCACAATCCGTGGAAGAAAAGTCCCAAGTTGTGGCAAATGGGTGGCTCGTTCTTCCACCACGACAACGAGCCTGCCCACACTGCACCCCAAACGGCATGATCCCTGCGCCCTGTCCTCCTTCTCTCTCCGGGTAAAAACAGTCCTCAAGGGGAGATGTTTTGCTGATGTGGAAGAGGTGAATAAAAAACAGCAGAAGAGCCGGGCTCGGCGGCTCAGTCTGTCATCCCGCACCTTCGAGAGGCCAAGGGGAGCGGATCGCCTGAGCCCGCGGGTTCGAGGCCCGCCTGGGCAGCGAGACCTCCTCTCTATCAGAAATCAAAAACGAGCCTGGCGCAGTAGCGCGCGCCTGTAGTTCTGGCTCCTCGGAAGGCGGAGGCGGAAGGATCGCCAGGGCCCGGCGGGTCGAGGCTGCGGGGGCCGGGAGCGGCCGCTGCGCTCCAGTCTGGGCGACAGGGTGAGACTCTGACTCAAAAAAAAAAAAACAAAAACAGCAGAAGCACTAAAAGGCATCAGAACTGATGAGTAGAAAAAGTGATTCTGAGCAGTAGAAAAAGTAGCTTGATAGGTGCACTGCATCCAACAGAGAGAACTCTGAAGGTGACTGAAGTTTAAACATGTAAGAATACAGAATTTTTTATGAATAAACTCCAGATTTTAGGGGGTCCCCCCTCGGACATTTTAAATGCTTTCTCTGGTTATCCTAAACAATTGGCAGCCAGTTCTCATTTAAATTTTCAGCCTTATTTAACCTAGCTCTGAAAAGATTAACAAAACAAGGATATTTTTTAAAGATCGTCTTAAACCACACTCTTTAGTTTTGACATTTTAACCTACATACCAAGAACGACACAGCAGGTGGGCGAGGAAGACAGAGCAGGCAATGTCACCACTCATTCAGAGACACTCAAGTGAGTTATTCGGGGTCACAGTGAACCTTGTTCGTCAGGGTCTTAGCCCAAAGCCTTTGTTGCCATGCTACTGTCAGAGGATTTTTGCCGTGTTGAAAGAGACACTTTGCTCCTTTGTTTGGTGATAAAGTCTCCTTTCTCTTCCCCACTTCCTCACATGGCAAATCCAGTAAGTAATGGAGTCAGAAAAAAATTTTTTAGAGCAAATTGGACACAAGTAATACTTAGTGCTCAGTACAGTGGCTTGCAGCAGGCTATAGTCAGAGTATCTGTGCTGAAATCCAGATTTGACATTCACTGCTTGACAACCTATGAAAAGTTGCTTATATTCTACACCTCAGTTTCTTAGTCTGTAAAAACCGTAGCAACTAACTCAGAGTTTTTCTGAGGATGAAACTGCTAACACATGTAAAGTACAAAGAACACTGGGCACATAGCATTAACATTAATTATTAATGATTCTGTCTTACATGGCAGCACAAAATTAGCCTGTTCAACCTCTCTTTCTCCTGTCAAGTTACTGCCTCTGCAAAAGGCCCTCCCACCTGAGTGCCTCTGACATGTGCCCTTTCCCTAACATTTCAGGACAGGATTCTCCCTAAGCACAGTGGGAGTAACATATTCACATATCAAAGTAAGACTTGTCACACTTACATAAAGTCTTGCTCAACAAAAGTAAATGACAACTGAAGAGAGCAGATATTATTTCTTGTTTACTGTTTTAAATGTAGAGATGGGGTCTCACTATGTTTCCCAGGCTGGTCCTGAACTCCCGGCCTCAAGCAATCCTCCCACCTCAACCTTCCAAGGTACTGGGACCACAGGCATGAGCCACCGGGCCCAGCCCCAATGTTCTTTCATATCTATTACAACAAGTGTCTTCTCAAGTTCCTCTTGTTTAACTCTCAGTTTAACAGGTATTGCTTCAAAACTTACTTCAAAACCAAATGCAAGTTAGCAGAGAGCCGCGGATCTGTAAATTGTGTTGTTCTGTTGTTGTGGTCAACGAAATAGACTCTGCCTGTGGCCGTATTACGGATCTCCCATCCAGGGGGCAACGGGCCAAGCTCTTCACAGTTGATGTTGCTAAGATCCCTGGAAAAACAAATGTGAAATAAAAACTACCTCACTGCGGCCTGCTGAGCCAAGCAAGTGTAAATGACAGAACAATTTCAGGAAGTCTGAGAAGATGTATTGTTTCAGAAACTTGAGATGTTCAGTCAGTCTTTAATTCCCAATGGTTTAACAAACTTGCAAATACAGAGATTGGAAGTAGTGGGAAACTGTGGGGGGGGGGTGGGATTGGCAGTTGAGGGAAACTACTAGGGGAGGGAGGGGCGCACCTCACCAACAAGGGTACCTGCATAATCAACGTTTGTATACCTAACCCTAAATTGTACCCCACATCTTCATATTACAAAAAATAAGATAAAATAAAAATACCTGTTGAATGGCACATGGTAAGCCTCAATTGATGGCTATGTTACAAGAAACTTGTTAAAGTGAAATAAACTGTTTATACAATTTTTTTTAAACTTACATATTCAAAACCCAATTCATAAATGGCTCAGAAAAAGTTACCACATAGTCGACATTTTTAGTAAGTCAATTCTTAGGCTGTAATGTAATACAGATTTTAAGTTAATATAAAAGTAATCACGCCGGGCTCGGTGGCTCAGCCTGTAATCCCACGCCTTTGGGAGGCTGAGGTGG